TTAGTGTAGTTTTCCCTTTATTAAGGGTAATTACCCAACGGTAAAGGGCAGGATACATTTAGGGAAAGAAAATCAAGTGAGCAATTAGGGGGTAAATAGACGAGATGTCAATTAAGGAAGCAATCTTGAAGAATCAGTAAGTATCACAGCTAATCAAATAAGGTAAGAAACCTAATTATGGTCGTAAATACGAGGAATAACCAAGACTCAACACATACGAGCAAATCAGTAAATCATAAATTCGAAATAGTACTGATTTTAAGGGAGAAAGATATAGGTTTCCACAAATAAACAAATGGGCTAAATACAACTTCGTAAACACACAGAAATTAGCCGAGAAATCGACTCTGAAACCCTAATAGAGATGAGCTAGGGTAAAAGTCAAAACAATGAATCTGACTAAGAGAAGCATGTGAATCAAACACAGAACGAAACATTACACAAGTAACACGAAGAACCGAATCACAATATGAGAAAATTAGGGCTTTAGCATAAATCGACTAGGTTAAGGCAAACTCAACATAAATCGCTCAGAAGCACGTAAGAACAGAAGATTAAACATTCAAAATCGGAAAGCTTTAAAAGAAGATGATTTTCAGTAAACCCTAGTTTTTAGGAAAACGGCGAATCAATTGAAAAACCATAAAATTTTCACACAAACATGTGAGATAGGTTCGATTCATCTCAGATATGGACAGATCTGAGAAGGTCAAAGGATAAAAATTAGGGTTTTCGAAAGTAAAACAGAGAAGGGATCATAAGCTTAGGAATCCATGGTTTAAGACGAAAATAATAAGGATCTTACTCAAAGTCGAACCAAATGGCCTGACACAAGCGAGAAAAACCCAAAGGTGTACACAGACCTGCCTAGGTCCCTTGAGAATTTCCTTAAGGATCTTGGAGATGGAGGTACCATAGCATAGAAGGGGCCATTAGAGGCCTGAGGTGGCAGAGAAATATCGTAGAACGGAGGGCTAAGCCGGTGACGGCACCTGAAGATTAGGGTTTATGTCTAGAGAGCGTTTGAGAGACGGAGAGAAGGGTGACGGCGGGGGAAAGGGTGAAAATGATTAGGGTTAGAGGGGGTATATGGGTTTAATTATGGTAAGGGAGTCCTAGACCGTTGATAAAAAATGATCAACGGCCAGGATTGGCCAAAGGGTTTTGGGTCGGGCAGATAGGGTATTGGGCCTAAGATTTGGGCTAAATTTTATAAGGGGGGTATTGGGTTGGTTAATTTTAGGCTAAAATTGAAATAAAAGAGGTTGTTTATTAAATACCCAAAGTAATTGAATAAAATTAATTTGTAAAATAATTAACTAATTACCAAAAATGATTTTTGTGCATGGAAATGTTTTACAAATAATTATTTGGTATTTTAAAATACAATGGACTAATTTCTAGTAAAAAATAATGCAAGAATGTATGCATGGGCTACAATTGCAAAGTTATTGCAATTATAACCAAAAGATGCCAATTTGACTATTCATGAAATAATTGGAACTTAATAAGACCATAAATGATAATATTAAATCAAGAAATATTTTTAAAAACATCTGTAATGCAATTTTGTAATTTTATATGAAGAAAATATTGAGATTAATTCAAAAATGTAAGAATTATGGAAAAATACCCCTTGATGTTAATGCATACTTTTAAAGGCATATACACACTTCAAAAAAAATATTATAGGGAAAAATTGGGTATCAACAGCAATAGTATCTGGTCTGGCAGGGAGTGCATAGAAACGGGCCTGACCGCCACCTGATCGGCCTTCCCCTCTAGGGAGACCCTTAGCTGACTCACCTCCACCCCGAGCTGGCTTGGCGGGTGGTGAAGTAACTGGTGCTAAAACCGAAGGTTGTCTTCTCTGCTGGTATGAACCTCCTTTAAGGCGGCGACAGAACCTCTTGATATGACCCAAATCTCAACACTCAAAGCAAACTCTACCGGCCACTGGCAATGGGGACTAAAGGGAGCCCCGAGCACCGGGATACCCGCTAGATGGACCAAGCATAGATGAACCATGAGCTGATGGTGCATAAGACGAACTTTGAGCTAGAAGAGAACTGAGAGATGAGTGGCCCTAATGTGAACTATGAGAATCATGGCCAGATGATGCGCCATAGTGACCTGGACAAGCCGTCTGAGCATGCCTGAAGGGACAGCCCCTGCCGTTGTGAATTTGACCTCCGAAGGAACACCACCAAAACTACCGGATCCACGAGGCCTCTTTGCCTCTCTCTCTCTACTCGCTCCTGGCGGCGAACCGACTCTATATCTCGAGCAATGTCAACAACATCCTCAAAATAAGCACTAGACACTCTCTCTCTCTAGTCAGAAGAATCCGCAGCTGATATGTGAGGTCATCAATGAACCTCCTGATCCTCTCCCTATCTATGGGAACCAACCAGATAGCATGACGGGCCAACTCATATAATCTTATCTCATACTGCATCACAGTTATACCATCCTGATGCAACTGATCAAACTGCCTACGCAGCTCCTCTCCGCGGGACTGCGGCACATACTTCTCCAGGAAGAGAATGGAGAACTGCTGCCATGTAAGGGGCACTGCACCAACCAGCCTACGCTTCTCATAAGCCTCCCACCAAGTGATGGCAGCTCCAGAGAACTACAAAGTAGTGAACGAGACCCCACTAGTCTCCAAAATACCTGCTGTACGGAGAATCCTCTGACACTTATCCAAGAAACCCTGGGCATCCTCGCCCTCTGCACCACAAAAAGTCAGAGGCTGAAGTCTACCAAACCTCTCCAATCTACGCTGCTCATCATCAGGCGTGGCAGGAACCACATAGTCCTGAGCAACTGCAACCGGCTGGGCTGGTGGTGCCCCTGGTGTTTGAAGTCCCTTAACAACCTGATCAGGTGTGCGGGTGGCGGGAGTCTGAGTGCCTCCCCCGGCTTGGGAAGTGGTTGCCGTAGTAGAAATAGAGGCCGCCTAAGCAAGACTGGTGCACACGGTCAGAATCTGAGCTAAGGTATCCTGAAGACCTGGAATCACGAATGGCACAACCGGTGCCTGAGTTGGTCCCGCTGGTGCATCCACAACTAGGACCTGATCCTGTACTGGGGCAACTGGTGGATCTGCAGGTGCTGCCCTAGTTGTTGTGCGGGCTACACCCCTGCCCCTACCACGGCCTCGACCGCGGCCTCTCGCGGCCTCAACTGGTGGAGCTAGTGGCTGTCCGGTAGCACGTGTCCTCACCATCTGTGAGAGAATAGAATAACAAAAGTTTAGTTACCAGTATCAACCGATTCGCACGATAAGGATTCAAGAATGTGAAGTTTCCAAAGGGTTCTGCATCCTCTCGAAGATAAGTACAGACATCTCTGTACCAATCTGCAAGACTCTACTAAACCTACTCATGACTCGTGAGACCTATGTAACCTAGGCTCTGATACCAACTTGTCATGACCCAAAACTTAACCGTCATGATGGCGCCTATTGTTGAACTAGGCCAGCCTCAACTCAATAAAACAAACGCAACAACAATAAATTTGAAAACATTTAACGGAAGATTTTAACATTGTAAGAAACTGTTTGAACATAAGAAATTCGAAGATAAGATAAAATCCAGCCCAAAACCAGGGTGTCACTGAGTGTATGAGTATCTAGGAAAAATACATAGTCTATTACAATGTCTAAAGAAACAATTGAAATAAAATTGGAATAAGAAGGAGAGCCAAGTCCCACGAACGTCGTGCAGGTACCTCAATAATCTCCTAAGTTTGAAGCCGCGATCAACAACCGCCACTGGGTCTAAAAGTGCCTGGATCTGCACAAAAGTGCAGGGAGTAACGTGAGTACACCAACTCAGTAAGTAATGAGTCCAAACTATTGACTGAATGGTAGTGACAAACTCAACCTCAACAGATATAATAGAAACAACGTAAAGAAAATGTAGGCATGCTTTCAGTTAAATAGACAACTCAAAGTAATAAGGTAAATACAGATCTGATCAGTTTAAAATATATATCTCAATTGCCTCCACATGCCAATGCACCGACTGTATGAAATGCACAGTGTACTCCCACTCTCAAGTGCTTAGCCACTCGGTACTGAAAATGTCCATCCGGCCCAGGGAAATCCATCCCGGAATATATACAACACTGACTGTAAGTAACTCAATATCGAGGAAAAAGGGCAATCCAACCTTGTGGAGAAATCCATCTCCAGGCATATATAAATACTCAACCACTCAGTACTGTATATGGTCATCCCGTCCAGGGATATCCATCCCGGGACATATTCATCACTGACTATAAGTCACCGGGTACCGAGGAACAAGGGTAATCCAACCCTGTGGAGAAATCCATCTCAAGATATCACTACTTCGGACAAATCCATGTCAGGGAAATCCATTCCTCAATAATATCATCCGCGCCCACTGTGGGTGTGCAGACTCTGGAGGGACTCCTATGGCTCAAGCGCTATCATAATCAACGTAACTCCTGCGGCCTGCAACTCGACCCCATAACTGTCACTCATAATTAGGCTCTCGGCCTCACTCAGTCATCCCTCCCCAGTCTCACCCACGGGCTCACAATTTAATGGGAACTAGCCCGAAAACAACGATATGCTATGCCAATAATAACAAAAGAGACTAAGATATGATATGAAATGCATGAATATGACTGAGTACAACGTAATAGTGAAATGACAGCAAGAAACGACCACTAGGGGTCCTAACAGTATTGGCATGAAGCCCTAACATGGTATCTAGCATGTCCTAACATGGTATCTAGCATGTTTATAGCTCAATTACTTTATCACATAGTGGAAACACAGATAGCAATAAGAAAGAGTCATTAAACGGTGCCATGGAATTCTCACGATGCACACCCGCACGCCCATCACTTGGCATGTGCGTAAGCTCAATACTAACCACATAACACGTAGTTTAGGGTTTTGAACCCTCAGAACCAAGTTTGAAAGCGTTACTTACCTCAACCGAGCAAAAATTCTACTCCGCAATGCCCTTGCCTCTCGACTCGGCCTCCGAACGTCCCGAATCTAGCGATAAGCAATACAATACGATCAGTATAGGCTAAAGGAACCGATTCCACAAGAAAAATACCAAATTATAGGCCAAATCCCGAAATTCACTCAAACCCGGCCCCCGGGCCCACGTCTCGAAATCCGACAAAAATCACAAATTAGAGCTCAAACAACTTACCTCAGTGAATTGGTTTCACTTCAAAAATCCTACTAATTAGGGGGCGATCAATGGGAAAACACCACAGCTAATGATATTAGAGCTCAAACAACTCACCTCAGTGAATACCCTCGAATCCCCTTGAAACATCTCCCCAAAAGCTCCAAAGTCCGAAATGAAAATGGTGGAAATGAGCAAAAATCATGAAGTCCCCTTTTTATACCTTCCGACCAGTGAAACCACACCTGCGGTCCACTTGTCCGCTTCTGCGACACCACACCTACAAAATTTCCATCGTAGGTGACACACCTCCTTTTTCTACCCCGAAAGGATATAGGGGAGTTTTTCCAATTAAAGTGACAATAATCGAAACGGGATTATTTATTCGAATTCAGAGTCGCCACTTGGGATAATTTATGGTGTCCCAAGTCACCAGTTTAAAATCCCGAATCAAGGAAGTTTGACTCTGTTTTACAGCCCGCAAAACATAGAAATCCAGGTAGGGAATTCTGTTAACCCGGGAGAAGGTGTTAGGCATTCCCGGGTTCCGTGGTTTTAGCATGGTCGCTCAACTATTAGTATTGGCCTAATTATCTGATTAATTACATATAACATTTGACCGCTTTCAATTATTTATGGAATTATTCTGGAACAAGTTACGATTGTCGTACACTTGTTTGTTTGCTACACATTGTGAATCATGTCGCGAGAACCGTACCCACGATCTATAACACGTTTAATTTATTAACATTATTAGAAGTTGTGGCCGGGTCGCATGAAATGCACACCCGAATTTGGATTTATGTATCATGACTATGCCACGGGAACCGTACCCATAGTCCCGATGATTATTTACGCGTCGAAAAGTTTGCCTATCCAGGTGTTGACGGCCTAGCATGCTAATAGCAGTCAAATTAATAAAACAGTTTTCACTTTTAATTCCCAAACCCCACGACACACTGTTTCTTATAACTAAACTTAGATGTCACCAAAATCATGGTATTTTCAAACAATTAATTTTTAATTCTTCTAATAAGCAGGACAACTAAATAAAATGGTCGGCTAACTTCTTTGATCTGAGAAAAAACAATTTACTAAAATCATAAGAGCAACACAAAGGCAAACATACATCTCAGTCAAACACCAACAGTAAGACAATTTAGAAATCCAACGACGAACAAGAGTTTAGAATTGGACCTTTGTATGGCCGTAAATTGATTGTTTCAATTCTCTGAACATAAAACCGACAGACAAAATAGCAGGACTGATGAGATCCAGAAACACTTGAAAACGGGATAATTTCAGATTCACAGCTTCTGTTCTTATGTTAATATATGGCAACAGGAAGCGGAAAAATCCAATCCATCTTTGTATGTTTTGATTAAAGGATTAAATATAGAATGGTCGCTGCTCTCGTTTTGGACTGAAGATAGTCGCCGGTGGCTGGAGTTCTCTTTTAGAGCAGGAGGTCTGGCGGGTGGTTTTAAGGAAAGGGTGGTGGCGACTGGTGGCCAGATTCCGGTGAGGGAGGCGGTTGTTGTGGTCACTGGTTCTAACGGCGGCTGTTCTGCTGCTTCAAGATGGAGGAAGAGCAGCTAAATTAGTCTTGGGGTTAGGTCTCTTCTAGGGTTTGAGGTCTCCATGAAGAAGAAGGAACGACTCCAGCCAGAAAACGAGAGGGAGCTACCGGATTTGGTGACTGCCGGTGTTAGTTCCGGCGAGTGAAGGAGACGAAGCGGGGTGTTATTTTTGAAGAAGGGGTCGCCGGTGTTCTGGAGGGAATGGATTTCCGGCGAGTTTGGTGGCTGTTGCTGCTGGAGCGAGTTCTGGTGGCGTAAATCCTAGGTTCTAAGGTTCTCTCATGGCTGCTTCTTTTTGTGAAGAAGATAGGGTCCTTAGGGTTTTTTGGTTTAAGATGATGAGAAACGACTGCTTTTTGTTTTTAGGGTCTTTTTTAGGTTGTCCCCAGAGTTAAGTCTTGTGTGTCTAGGTTGGTGAAGGTGTAGGGTGCTGAAGGTTAGGTCTAATGTCTAGAGAAGAAGATAGGTTTAGGGATGTTTTTAAGTGTCTTTCTAGGGTTTTAGGGGTATTGGGCTTGGTTATTATGGGCTAGATTTTAATTGGGTCAAATTTTGGCCAAATGGCCCTTTAACTCTATTAGACTAAAAAATATTAATTCCTAAAATAATAACTATAAAATTGTGAAAACATTCCTAATTAAAATAAATTACTAGAATAAAACTAAATACTAAAAGTGAAATTATTTTTGTATATTTTTTAATTTTATGAAAGATAGATAAACTGGAAGTAACTAAATAAAATATCAATTAGCTAAATAAGAGAAAATATTTTTGTAGTTTTTATTTTTGTGATAAAATAAAATAAAAGGGTCAAAACTAGTTAAAATAACGATATTAGACCTAAACTAACTATTTAAACGCTAAAAATGTACAAAATCTCGGGGAGGGTCAAAACTCACATGTCTATAGCAGGTGCGGAACTCACTTAATACACCAAGTTCCGCATCTGCGGTCAACCTCTCGCATATGCGGTTGCGCACCTGCGATTGCGCACCTGCGCATCTCCCTCCGCTTCTGCGGAAAATGACAAACTCCTCATTCCGCATCTGCGACTCAGCCTCGCATATGCGGGCTCGCAGATGCGACCTCTCTTACGTACCTGCGGTTCCAGCCCGGGTCCTCTTTGTACGCATCTACGGCTCCCCCAGCGCACCTGTGACCTCGCACCTGCAACTGCATTCTTCAAATTCCAAACTCCCCGTTAGCCATCCGCAATCACCTCGAGCCCCTCGGGACCTCAACCAAGCATACCAACAAGTCATATATCAACATACAAACTTAGTCGAACCTTTGAATCACTCAAAACAACATCAGAACACCAAATTACACTTGGATTCAAGCCTAAGAATTTCTAAACTTCCGAATTCCACAACCGATGCCAAAACCCGCTAAACCACGTCCAAATGACCTCAAATTTTGTACACAAGTCGAAAATGAGACCATGGACCTACTCCAACTTCCAGAAATCCAATCCAATCCCGACATCAAAATTTCCATCGCCGACCAAAATTGCCAAAATGCCAACTTTCGCTACTTCAAGCCTAATTCTACTTCGGACCTCCAAATCACATTCCGGACGCGCTCCTTAGTCCAAAATCACCTAACGGAGCTAACGGAACCATCAAAATTCAAATCCGAGGTCCTTTACACATAAGTCAATATCCGGTCAACTCTTCCAACTCAAACCTTCTCATAAGAGACTAAGTGTCTCAATTCACTCCAAAACCACTCCGGATCCGAACCAACTAACCCGATAAGTCAAAATACAGCTGAAGAACACAAAAGGACTAGGAAATGGGGGAACGGGGCTATAACTGTCGAAACGACCGGCCGGGTCATTACAGTACAAGTGTAGAGAATATCCGCTAGAATATTCTCTTTTATGTCCTATTTTGAAAGTAGTCGTTATAACTCTGTCAGATGTGCTCGACCTCGGGCTCGAACCTTGATGATTCTTCGACCTCAGCCCTTGCTGACTCTTCGACCATGGCCTTCATTGTTAATTAGATTATTTCGACACGTGGCATCCCAAGAATGTTTTACAAATACCATTTCGACTAAAGATGGATTTTGACCCATACAATTAGTCTCTCCGCTTATCAAGGTCTTCCTGCGGACGATTGTCGGTAAGTGGACAATGTCGTTTGTGATACAATTCTATAAAGATGGCTATGTAGGTTGTGGTCGTGAAGACAGGTCTACGTGGCCTTCTGAGGTCCGTATATTTTGAAAATTTTGAATTTTCCGGGAAATATGTTGGAGCCATTTGATCCAAGAGAAAAAGTGACATTATGTGTCATAATGACGCTGTTTCCGACGCATTGCATCGATTTAGGTGTGACCCTTGATTGGCTTTGTCATTTAGATTTTCGTGCTAATCATGATCCGTCGTTTCGATTCTTGTGCCTTTCGAACCTTATAAATAGGGGAAGGTTTGTTGATGACTGTTTCCAAACTCTTCCATCTCTTTAAGCAATAACTTCTCCTTCATCTTCTTCGCAGAATCCTTTCAACTATCTGTTTTTTTCGACGGTTATTATTATTTTACTCCTCCGAAAGAAAGTGCAGAGACAAAAAAATTAATTCAAGATCCATTGACCATAGAAAAAAACAAAATAAGCAAAAAATATATTATTATTTTAGCTAAGTCTCAGTATATTATTATAGCTGACATTGAGAATAAGAGATGAATATTCTGTCTATCAAGTTTTGCAACAACAAAAGAATAAGCCCGATCCTGTTGAGTCAAGAACGCAAGAGCCATCATTAAACGATCTCCTTATGCAAAACGCCAAGCACTCGTTGTTAAAAAATGATTTCGCGCACTGATCAAAGCAAAGAGGACCCAGTTGTTTTTGATCTGTTAATTAAAAAACAAGAAGAATTAATCTAAATAGTCATCAATCCAACTGTTTAAACTAAGAATTTGAAGGTATAAAAAAATGGGAGCAATAAAAAATGGAAAAGGAGTTACCAAGATTCCTTGCAATAGCCAAACCAATGATAGCTAGAAATACAAGGAGAAGACATGAGTTGGAGGACCTGCACAAAGCCATTGCAGCTTATGATTTATATTTGCTTCGTTATGGTAGATGTATATACAGCTAATGACTTAGGCTTTGGCTAGTATTTATAATTATGTGTGACAAACGTCAAATGGAAAATATATAAATCCATCTTTTATGGGAAAATCATTATTACAGCATTAAATTTACTAATGCATGTAATAAATTTCCAAATCAGCGGAGGTCTTCATATAGAATTGACGGTTTGCAGTCATTAAGTCCTTGGAATAATCTCGGGAAAATAAATTTTGTAGCTCACTACAAATTTAAGAAAATTTTGTAAAATATAGATCATCTCTAAATATTCGTGAAGTACAAGAGTCTGTATTTCACACACACACATATAAACTGAAATATGTTGGGTATATATATATATTTCAGTTGGGTATATATATATATATATATATATATAACTGAAATATGTTTGGTTAATATTTTAACAAAAACATGTAATTTGGCTATTTTACTCTTTAGAGCCTAGAGGTATTCATGGGCCAAAAGTTGATATCAAAAATAATAGATTGGTTTCAGAATACTAAAATTTTAGGAGAACCTACGAATTGGAACTATGGTTTATCAACGATATTGTACTTTTCATTAAAATGCAGGAGCAAAATATTCAGCTAGAATTATTTTAAAGGACAAGAAGTGAATGGAAGGATGACTTGCCAATATCATTGACTTTAGATGTGTTATTGCTTGTATATATGACATATATGTGTGGTAATATTTTCTAAAAAATGGACAAGTGTTTAACCATATGGCAACTTGCATGGAAAGTCATAAACAAGTGTCAAGTGTTCAACCATGTGGCAAATTGCATGCAAAGTTATAAACAAGTGGCATACACTTGGCATGACCTAAGCCCCTCAATTAGCCTATAAATAGGCCTACAAGTAGACATCATGGAGCAGTACATTCTTCACTTTGCTTCTTTCGTTCCTTTTCTTCCTCCTTAAAACATTTATAGTCTACTTTGTTTTGTTCCCTCTTTTAAAATAGCTGGGTTTGTAATTTACTATTTTGCTGATTCCTGTATCCTCCCTAATAGAGGTAGGCTTGTTTAATCCTGGGGAAACATTTCACATTGTTGAAATAGTTTCTTAGGACAGTGCCTAGCACGACTCAAGCCAGTCCGTGTATCCGTTCACAAATAATATCATTGCAGTATTATTATTATTAGTTTTTCGGTGTCATTTCCCTACAATCTAAGAAACTGTGGTAAGTAATACTACTGCGGAAATTTTTGATGGTGCTACCAATTTTGGTGTTGTCTCTACTGCTACTGTTCCAGCTGTTGGTGTTGCAAATACGTTATTGCATCCACAACTTTGGCAGACACTAATGTCAAAATACAGGTATGTAGATAGACATGGTTACATATCTAATGCTAATATTAAAACCTTCAAGAAAAATGCACCTCAATGCAATAGTAGAGTTGGGATAAATGACAATCTCGCTAAGTCAAAATTAAATTTGACTAAAGCGGATAATATAATTGTTGCGGTCATTTCTCAAATAAATAATGTGGTCAGTATGAGAGATTGGGTGATAGACTCTGGTGCTACTAGGCACATTTGTGCAAACAAAAATGAATTTTGTCTTACACCCAAGTTGAGGAAGGAGAAGAAACTATTTATCTTGGTGACTCAAGAACAACTCGTGTTCTTGGAAAAGGAAAAATTCTTCTCAAACTCACATCTGGTAAAACTCTAGCATTGAGTGATGTATTGCATGTTCCTAATATCCAAACCAATTTGGTTTCTGTGGGGTTATTAGGAAAAGTTGGAGTGAAGGTTTCATTTGAAAATAATGAGGTCGTATTGACCAAAAATGATATTTTTGTGGGCAATGGATATTGTAACTATGATTTATTTGTGCTTAATATTTCTGTTACTAGCAATGAAAATGCATCTTCTTCTGCTTATATGGTTAAGTCAATTTCTTTATGGCATGCTAGACTAGGACATGTTAATGTCGCGTATATAAAGAAAATGCAGTCGCTAGGATTAATATCTGGTTTAGACTCAAATAATATTAACAAGTATGAAATATGTGCTGAAGCTAAAAGTGCTAGAAAGACCTGTTTTTCCGTAAATAGAGAAACTGAATTGTTATCTTTAATTCACACTGATTTAGGCGACTTGAAGCAGAGTATGACTAGAGATGGTAAAAGATATATGTAACTTTTATTGATGATTTTTCTAGATATACTAAGTTGTATTTGCTTAGAAATAAAGATGATACATTTAATGCTTTTATTTCTTATAAAACTGAGGTTGAAAATCAACTTAGTAGAAAAATCAAGAGAATTAGATCAGATAGAGGTGGAGAATATTTAACTTTAAATGATTTTTGTGAAAAGAATGGAATAATTCATGAAGTAACTCCGCCTTATTCACCCGAGTCAAATGGAGTAGCTGAAAGGAAAAATAGAACATT